TACTTTATAGTATGTTCATTCTACTCACCGGGGTTTATGCCTAGGGTCAGACTAGGATACATGTGTAGGTTTGTGTCTGCTGTGCTAGCTAATGGATTTATTTAGACTAATTAAGTTCATTAGCAGAACAATTGAATGGGGAGGGGGGAGGAAGGTATGGAGGACAACCATGGATGCCAGGGAAAAAGGGGGGGGAAGGTGGGACATAGCAGAGGGTGGGGGATGGGGACTCAGGGATGGCAAGACAAAGGGCAAGGTATGCAGGACGTAAGAATTGGAAAATTATTTGCTGAGAACATATATGTGGATGTACTTGATTGAGACAATGCACAGTGTATTTTGGATGGAAAATTCATTTGTGTGTTGTGATGGTGTAAAGTGAATTAATAAATAAATTAATTTAAAAAAACAACATGCCAGACATGTGTGTGCCCAATATCTCAACAGTACAAAGAAATAAAAGTGAAGGGCAACATTATCAGGCCCCATTGGGGGTGCCTGCCTCCTATTTCTCTGTGGTGAGCATATGTGCCCTCTGGCAATGTTTAAAAAACAAAAAAAGAACTGTGAAGAAGTGAGAAGACAAGGCAAAAACTAGAAGATTCCTGCAACACATATAATTAACAAAGGATTAGCATCCGGTGCACATACAGAACCATAAATCAATTCTACAAAAATAGAAACTATAAAAAATGGGCAAAGTGCAGAAACATACATTCAGAAGGAGGGGAAAAAAAACCCACACAAATTGGCAAAAAACTAAGAAGACTGATGATATCAAAGGATGTGGGGCATCCCACTCTGACAGGGGTATAAATTGGTTCAACCACATGGGAAAATTATTTAGTGTCATTTAGTAAAGTTGAAACTACAAGTACCCCATCGCTTATAAATTCCACAACTAGATACACCCCTAAGCTAGGGTTTTTCAATCTCAGCACTATTGACATCTTGGACCAGATAATTCTTTGTCTTGAGCATCGTAGGTTGTTTAGCCATGTCTTTGACTTTTCCCCCACAAGATGCCAGTGGCAATGACCCATACCCAAGTCCTAAAAACCAAAAATGTCTGGGGCATTTGCTGAACGTCTCTGACACTGGGAAAATGTCACCCTTGGTGGAGAGCAAGCGCCCTAGACTCATGCACACGAGCAGAGAGCTCTGAGAACATTCATTGCAGTGCTGCAGGAAATGGCAAAAAGCATAAACACACAAGGAAAATGTAAATCATGGTAAATAACTACAATGAAAGTGTGCATATCCTATAGTAAACTAAAAACAAACAAACAAACAACAACAACAACAAAAACAAAAAAGACCAGGTATATGAGAATAAAAAAAAAAAGAAAAAAGAAAAAAAGACTGAAGAAAAACCCAGGTCCCAAAGGAGAAGAGTCCTGATTAGACAGAGCTGCGCAGCCAGGCCCAAGCTGCCTGCTGACCTTCCAGCACAGGCTGGAGCGCTCTTGCACAGCTAGACCAAGCCTGCGCTGCGTGTAAACGCTCTCCATGGGCAACACTCTTTTTTTGATTGTTTAATCAACACTTACAGTTATCTGTTGACATTTTGGAAACAAAACCAAGAATCCTTGAGAGGACAGAGTGAGCATTGTGCCTCTGAGCCTTTAGGAATACGCAGACCTGGGTCTGAACAGTGGAGTGAACACTGGATGCTTATCTTCCAGAAAGAAGGCCTTTGTATGCAGACTCTGCTCTAGGCGAGACTGGTGATGGAAAACTCTGACAGTGGAATTCCCTGAATGAGCTTCCCTTACTCCTGTCCATAGTCCCAAGTCATACATGAGGATACAGCACTGATCCGCAGTACAGACGGCATCCTGGGGATTCTCAACAGGTCGGCCTGGGAGGAGTAGGGTTGGAACTAAGCAGACGAACTATCTGGGGAGGTGGGACATAACATTTATCTCTGTTCTTCCAATCAGCAGAGAGCTGAAGGTGCCCTTCAAACATGAAACAGCTACCTGATGGTCTCCTCCAAAGAGAGAACAGATTGAAAAAAGAAACTCCAAAAGGTCGCTTTCTATAGAAAGTATTTAACTTTGGAAACATCAAATGAAAGGTATTGCTGCTCTGTGTTATTTTTTTCCATGCTAACCTGGGCCTATGTTTTCTAAAGCAGAAAACTTCAAAGTTAAATGCTGTGAGATGGAAAATGTAATGAGTGAAATGTTAACAGGGAGTGGTGGGGGTGGTAGCAAATACGGAGAACAGGCCCTGACTGCTCAGCTCCAGCGATGGCTGATGTGAAGAAAGCCTGGCCTAGATTCTCCCAGTCTTCTCACTGTGAAGAGAAGCCAGAAATTCAGAGACTCATGTAAAACTTCACAGTTTCAAAAGCAATGTGCCCACTAAGCCATACACATACATGAGCCACAGTAGGGCGTGTGAAAAGTTACATAACTAACTCACAGCATTGTGAAGAGGATGAAGTGAACTAGAATACAGTCAGCAATCGTTAACTGGTGACTATACATCAGAAAAGCATATAAACATAGCACAGAATAAGTCAGGGGTGGTGACAGGTTGCGTTTTCCAAAGAAGGCTGTAATAATATCTCCTATCCCCCATGCTGCTTTCATAATGGATCCATGACACTCCCTCCGTCAAAGAGTGGGGCTACGTTCCCTCCCCTGAGACCCGAGTGGGACTTGAGGAATCCCTAAAGCAACAGCATGGTGGAAATGACTGTGGCCCCTGAAGCCAGGACATGGCAATGCCATGCATCTCTGCCTTGCTGTCCTAGGACGGTCACACCTGTAATCCAGCCTCCTTCCAGTGAGAGCCAAAGTGGCCTGTAGAGAGGTCCATGTTGAGAGGAACCAAAGCTCCCAGCCACGATCCCAGCCATCGGCCAGCTCCAACTCGCCAGCTCTGTGAGTGAGCTGTCTTTTTAAAAAGAATTATTTATTTAACTTTATTTATTATTATTAATTTTTAATTGACCAGAGAGAGAAAGAGACAGAGACAGAGGGGGAAAGTGAGAAAGCAAGCTGCCTGTCCTGGACTCGAACCACGGTAGGCCATGTGGGAGTCCAGAGCCCCAACCAACATGCCACTTGCTGGCCCAGAGTGAGCTGTCTTGAGGGTGGCCCCACTGCTCCCATTCGAGCAGCTCCGGCTGAAACCACGTGGAGCAGGGGCAAGCCATCCCTGCTCAGGCGGGCCTAAATTGTAGATTCATAAGCAAAATAAATGAATGTTCTTATTAAGTCACTAAACTTTGAGATGGTTTTTCACACAACAATAACCAAAACAGGGTTAAAATGTTTTTTTGTTTTGTTTTGTTTTGTGTTTTTTTTTTTAAGCTAGACACACTCCTGGAAGAGGAAAGACAGAAACCCAAGGTCAATATTGGACTTCTAGAGTAATAGGTGCTAGGTGCTGGGAGTAATAGGTGCTGGGGAGAAACAGATAACCTGAGGCCTCTCTCAGCTTCAGAATCAGGTGGAAGCCCGAGACCACCCTTCTGTATTGATACTACTGTGGTTATCGCTCCAAATCTTTTCACATTTAAAGATGGGGCAGAGTTCCTCATGGAAGGGGTCTCACGTTCTCCCTGCATCTTTCTTAGAATGGGGTGCGGGAAGCTGTATTTTTCAGCCACTTTCCAGATGATTCTTATTTGCCAGTTTAGAAATCCATACTTCACCCATCTCCCGTGTAACACTTTCGGATGTTTTCTTGGGTTTATTTCTTAGAGAAATGCACATGGTTTAACAGTTAGGGAGCTGTGGCTTTGCCAGTGCTTCATTCCTTCACCACAGATGCCCTGAATCCTCAGTGCCCAGATGTGGTGGGCCTGGTATAAGCCTGAGGAGGTGGAAGAAAGGGGCCATTCAAGACAGACAGTGACTGAAAATTTAAAACTAGAATAGAGTCAGAGATGGCCGTGGGGCCCGGAGGCTTTTCCAGCTGGCAGAGACCCTTTCTACCACCCCTTCAACAGCTCCATTAATTCTACTCTTTGGGCATCTACCATCTTTCATCTACATAAAGTCACTGCTATTTCCCCACTTCCACCCCGGGCCACACTGAGACCTGCCTTCTCCCTTTCAATAGTAGAAAGAATTTACGTGTCAGAACTTAAGCTAAAAGTTAGAGAGCATATGTTTTTAATAAAAATAATAACTGGACATGTTGATAAAATGTTTGCTTTCGAAGCAAGAAGAAATGCTTGCCAGCAAATGAAGACACTGAATCTACCCTGCAAAGCTCTGCTGTGTGCAGGGTGTTCAGTCAGGTACTCGCTATCGAGGAAAACAGTGGCCCTTGCATCAGCCAAAAGCTTAACATGTTGCATGTAAGCTGCAAGAGTCATTAATGTCCATAAGAATTGTACATGTACCTGTCAGTGTATTTATTAGACAATTCTGGAAGAATTAAACACCAGACTGATCATTATGCTTATAACTTGGGATGGGGTGGGAGAAGAAGGCACTGTGAGATTGTAAGATTTCACTTGCTAAAATAATCTCTGAAAAGTCGTCTTTCTTGTTGCTCTTCTGGTGACGACAATGAATGAAGAAAAGGTAATAAGAAATATTGATAAGAGCTGGTGTGGTCACTATAGATTATTTTTGCATATTCTAGGGTTCATGTAAGTTAGAATAATACATTGTTTCTTTTGTGTCTAGCTTCTTTCATTCAACACATTGAGATTCACGCATGTTGTTAATGGTTTCAATAGTTTATTCCTCTTATACTTAAGAATAGTAATCTACTGTATGAGTATTTAACTATTTACATTCAAGAGAAGCCAGATCCCACTTGGCCCAGCCCAGTCAGCCTGAAATATGCTGGGCACATGCACGGTGCCAGGATCTGACAGCCGGAGAACTGGAGAGAGGGTGTAGCATGATCAAAACCCGTAAAGGGCTCCCCCGCCCGCTGCCCCCTGCCCCGTCTTTCTCATGTGCATATGCTCTATTGTATCAATTGATGGACACTTTTGGGTTGTTTTCAGGTTTGGGCCATCATACTGAGAATAAAATTGTTATGAGCATTTTTGTACAAGTCTGTATGGGAAATGTTGGGTAAATACCTGGGAGTGGAATTACTGAACCCTAAGATAAATGCATGTTTACTTTTATTTTTAAAAAGTAGGTGCTTCCATTTTGATGTAGCAATTCATCTCACAATTTATTCTAAATAGTCATGAATGTAGGTAATTATTTAGCTATCTGGGTGCTTATAGTAGCATTGTTTATGTAGTTACTACAATTTAACATACCACCAGGCTAGGAGGACTACAAGACTATTTATGTATTTGTTCTTTATTCAAGTTAGAGTGTATGCACATGAGATGTATATTCATAAGAGAGACAGAGAGAGAGAAGCACCCGTCACAGGCTCTGATCTCCTTCCTCCAGTTCTCCAGCCTCTCAGATCCGGGTACCATGCACACGCCCGCGTGTTTCAGGCTGGCTGGTCCAGGGATTCACTCTGAGGGAGCCAGGTGGGAGCCAGCTGCTCCTGAGCAGTGCCTTGCCTCCGTGCCACAGAGCCAGCCTCGCATGGAGAATTAAATGGCATTTCATACCTCTAGTTCAGGAATCAAAATGGCATAAATCCACAGTAAAGGTGAAAATAGGAAAGAGTCTGTCAGCAGATAGAGATGTTAACGAATTTCCTGGAAACAGAAAGGGTTGGAAGAATACTGATCAATACAGCAGGGGAAGTGGGCTGTAGCCAATGAGGGCTCAGGGTCTCTCCACAGAAGCTGAGAGATGCCTCAGTCTGGAAATGAAAAAAAAATCCCAGATAGTAGGAGTAGAAAACAGAGCTGACACCCGTTGAAGTTTTATATATGCAGTAGCTAACTCCTCTGCTCGTACAGATTAGACAGGTGCCAATCACTCTCTGGGTAAAACACTGGAGGGCTTGTCTCTGAAGAAAATGTATAGATTGCCTGGTGAGAAGCCAATATGTGCTCTGGAAGCCCAGAGTGCAGCCAGCCCTCTGC